AAGAGCTTGTTATTAGTCTATAATATCAAAACTGATAAACTATTAGTATTTTGTCAGGCATAATATATGCTAAACATTTTCCTCTGCAGATTGCCTCAACAAGGACTGTGACTGTTTTTAGACACATCTGGCACTGCGGATTTTTTTCCATCCTGCATTTCAGTGATTTAAAGGGCCTTGGCTGGGCAGAAGGATGTCAGCTGTTTGGTTTAAAATACTGTTATAAGAGTGAATAAGATTTAAAGAGGCAGCAGATAGAATTCTGGCCTTGCTGAAGCTAGTGGGAGAATGGCCATTGAGTTTAATGGCTTCGTGATTTCTCTGTACGGCTTTCTCATCCATTTTTATTCTTAGTAAATTTTCCATTTCCTGAAATTGCCCTTTCTTTTCCATTCAGCTTCTCCCACTTTGAATATTAGCTCTAGGAGTGAGCGGTGAGATAAAATACCAAACCCTTTATTTACACAAATGCCATCTCTACAGCTCACTTCTGTGGCACTTCTATAAGACAATAATAATGGGTGCAGGCGTATAAAAACAGTAAATGCAGGTATTTGTTTATAAAAAAGATGTTCTTAATATACTTTTCTGGCTGTGTTTCAAAATGAGCTGTGTGACCAGTGATGAATCTCAGACCTCTGTGGTGTAGAGAAGCTATTTTGCTCTTTTTGGAAAGAAATAGCAGGACAAGCTCCTCACTAGTACTGTGTCCTTTCATGCCAAAATACATCAGCATGTTGAGGCGGGTGGAGACACGGGGTCTGAGGAGAAGAGTTTGGTGGGAGTTGGATGCCACAAGGCAACCAGACCCCATCTGCAGTTGGCTTGTTTCAGAAGGCAGAGTCTGAACTGGGTCCATGGAGAAGTCACTTCAAGGACTTTGTGCTTCTGGAAGAGTTTGCAATCATCAGACAAGGAGAGGTGATGACTCCCTAACAGTGTCTTCAGCTCCATGCCCTGGAGGAGGCTCTTTCAGCTCCAGGAGCTACTGATAGGCACAAAGTATGTTCTGCAGGATTGGGTGGTGTCCTCTCTGCATCTCAGAGACCAGCTATTGCCTGAGAGACCTTTGGCATGTAACCTTTGAGTAACAGACAAAAAACCTTAATTTTTTATGGCAGGATTGGACCCTTTTGTTGCAAAATCAAAATCATGCAGAGGTTTTGGCTTTGTCCTGCTATTGCATATGACAGTTTCGTGACAGATGGGAAACAAAGTGTATCTTTGGTAAATTAGGTAAGAGAATATAGCAGGCTTTGCTGCAGTGGCATTTTATATTGTTTTACCTTTTTCTCCTACACTTAAAATTGGGAATAGCAAGGGATCTCTTTCCAGCTTCAGGCATGGGAAGTCCTGATTACCAAGTAGGAATTTCTAACGTATAGTCTGCTAAAAACTGATCCTCTGAGCAGCCACAAAAGATTTTAACAATAGAAGTAGGCAGATACATAAAGCAAAGTTGCAGACCGTGCGGACCCACTACCACCAGAGTCTCGCAATGCAGGACTCAGGGGAGACAGGTGAGTAAACACAGAGGCAAACTGAGCACGATTCATCCCTCTGCAAGGGTAATGCTTTGCTTTGTACGGAGAGGTGATCACAGTTTTGCAACATGCCAGTAAAATGTATTTACTTTTCTGAACAGCCCAAACAGAAGCAGTAAAAAGCATGGCTGAAACCATGCTTTTAGCCAAGAACAGACATATCTCTGAGTAGTCACATGCCATTCAGAGTTATCTTCTAGCAACTAAAATAGCCAAGATATGCACAAGGGATTTGCCAGGCACGGGATTCAGGAAGCATTCAAAAATATCTTATATGGGATTTAGGTATTTTTAATTCAGTCTCCTGTTTTCTTACACATGCTTCCCCCAAATTCTGCAGCTCTTTCTTCAGTTTCCTGGATGAATTCTCTTGGGTAGCATATTTTTACAAGCACAGATGCTACCTTGGAAAAAAAGAAAGGAGGGAAGGGAGCCAAATGGGTGTCGTGCTCCAGCTTGGCAGCACCTTATTGACTGGCGCCCTCCCCCTGCCCCCCAAAAAGAAAAAAAAGACTGCTTTTAGTAATCAAAAATTAGAGCAAAACTGTGGCTGTAGAACCTTCAGGTCATCAAAAAGACTGAAGAAAACGCCTTGTGGCCAAAATGACATCCCTGACCTACTTGTCCGTGCTGTCACGTACCTGAGTAACCTTTCTGCCTCCGTGTCTTCCATCAAACCTCTCTGACAGTTGTGCCATTCATACTTGCTTTCAGTTGTAATTTTTTGTGTTTGTTTGAAGCGTGCAACCAAAAAGTAAATTCTTGTAACGTCGTGCTGGCAGTCCTAAAAATAAGTCAGAGACCTTTTCCACTACTGCTTCTTGCCATCCATTGATCTCCGCAGAAAACAGTCCATTTGGACCCGGAGTTCCTATTGGAAATTAGGGGACAGCCTGGTAATTGGATTAGGGTGCGCTATTATTGGAAGCAGTTTCTCAAAATGAAGCTCCTGGTTTGTTTCATTGATTGCCTGCCCCGTCTTCCTGCCAGTAAAAGCCACTCACAAAGCTGCGGAGACAGAGCAAGGATTGATGGCGAATGCAGCTTCACGTTACATAAGATGTGTATGTTCCTCATGATATAGTCAGGCAGACGCAGATGATAGGTGCATCTCCATACAAACATGAGAATGTGCTTTCTTAATCCGCAGTAAAATTGCTTAAAAGCAATTTTTATCAATGTAGTCCTTAAAAACTGGAAGAGCCACCAGTTGCATCTGTACTTATATTCTTGCCGGTCACCTCCACAGGTGCCAAAGAAGGAATAGCTTCAGGACACTGGGATTGCATGTGTGAATTTGAGACCTTTGGAGTCTACATGATTGTAGGGATTGGAGGAGAGAGGAAAAAAATGAGTTTGACTTCCGCATTTCCAGAGATGGTTCATAAATCCTAAGTTAAATTTTTAGGGTGTGCCCCCAGAAACACACCAGGCTTGATCACATGTGGAGCACAAGTTAGCCTGGCAGCAATGGCTGGGCTATAACTTGGGGCACTACAATGCTCTGTTTCACTAGACCTCCGGAACAAATCTCCACCAAAATTATTGTTTATAGCTCTTACCCAATCTATCATTTTATTCCATCAGAACCGTGCTGCGTGTTTTACCCCACTGTGTTTATGAAGTAAGACCTCAGACAGTTTAATTCCTATGTGGTCCTTCCGAGTCCTACAGAGGTCACAGCCTGCCCTGGTGTGAGCCATGAGAAGTTCTACCAGACACAGAGAGCACTTGCACCCCGTTTCTCCCACTTAATCATCGCCCCAGAGGCAGAGATACGTTCTGGGTGGGCAGAGCTGAACTGGCAACCAGAATTCCTTTTTTTTCTGGCTGGGCAGGGAAGATGCAGCCCTCCCCTGGCTGGGAGTCGGGAAGCATCGTTAGTCAGTGCCACTGTCCCCCGGGGCGGTGCCAGGGAAATGATCTTGCTCCTTCCACACATCAATATTCTTGACACTCGTCTTAAAACTTAGGTCATGCATATCCATCTACTCTTGGAGAAGTGTCAGAGAGGTACAAATATCCCTTCACTATTTTTAGGGCCGTATCAAAAGTATTTATCAGCTTTCTGGCACCTCACCCCATTTGTCATATTTGATGCTATCTACCAGTCAGCGGGGGGAGGGAGACGAAGTCCTCTAGAAATGCGGCGGCAGATGGGTGAAACTCCATAAGGTAAGACCGCGGCGATGGTGAAAGGTGACTCCTGGGGGTTGTGGTGCCTGTTGTCACAGTCGGGCAGTGCCTGTCGCAGTCCCCTAACAGCAGGCGGAGAAGGGGCTCGAGGGAGCGGCTCGTCCTCACCTCGGTGTTTGCCCACCCACGGGGTAGGCAGGGATGTGGAGGAGGTCTGCTCGCAGCCGTGGAGCAGAGCTGAGCTATGGGAGAGGGGGAACAGCTGATTTCCTGGTGACTGCACCGTCCTCTCCGTGTGCCATCAGCCCTCCCACACCGCCTGGTGATGCCAGAAGACTGCTTCCTTCAGCTTCCGTCCCAGCACAAACGTGTACGAGAATGGGGCTCAATCTGGGGATTATACATAATTCACACTACTCGCACGAGGTGGTACGTGAGCGGTGTGGAGAGTCGTTGTTTTCCCACACACCCCTTGCCAACGGGAAGCTCTCCCAGCTCCTCCGTAACACCTACCTCGGGGCCCCGCGTCGGGCGGCTCCGTGCTGGGCAGGTAACGCCTTCATCCGCCTCGTGCCACAAAACTGGGACGGTTTCCTAGCGCCGTTGGTTTTTAGAAGGCAATGTATTCAGGTTGAAACTTTGCCCACATACCATCTGCTTCAGCCTTATCTTTGTGCGACGAGAAAGCTGAATATATAATGTCCACTTGGCTTTCCCGGCATTACGTAAGGTTGTGGTTTCATCTTAGGTTTGCCGCTTCGGAGCTCCCCGGCAGCTCTTGCAACAAGCTCCTGCTCTTGCTTTCAAGTGAAAGAGCAGTGACAAAAATCGATACCATCTTCATAGCTATAATGAATGTGACCCACAGCCTTTTTCAGGATGACCACGAGCTTCCATCACATGTCCGAGGTGTATTCGCAAGTATTGATCTGTATTGCAGATTAGCTGTAGCCGTTTCACGTGAAATCTGAAGGTCTCACAGTTCTGCTCCCTGTGCTTTGTTCGGTATCAAAGGTGCAGCTGTAAATCAAAAGACCCGCCCATAGACACTATTGATAGCCAAGGTTGCCAAGTTATGAAAATGAGATGTTTGAGGGGTTTTTAAGCTTCTTAAGGAGGACGGAGAAAGCTCCAGTTGAGTGAAAGCTCTGATTTGGAGTCACTGCAGACTCTGTTTACTCGAAGGAGGGGGAAAAAAAGTGGAACCTTCATATGCAAATGTATGGCATTTGGAAATGTCATATAGCTGCATCTACATATAAATAAGCCACTCTCCAAGTGCTGCACTAGCAAGGCTGCTTTATTATAAAAATTGCATAGTAACACACAAAGCAGAAACAGCAGGACACCACTTGGTCAAGTTCAGGGAGTTTTGTTCCTTAATCACCACTTAACTAAGTTAACCAATATTGCGGCGTCGCTTTGCGTTAGAGCAGGAACAGTTATGAATAGCTGCCGTTTGGTTTTGCTGCTAAGGAGAAGCTGTGTTTGTACGTGCTGCACGGGGCTGATGATCTGGCTCCTGTGCCCCAGAAGACAGTGCTGGATGTAGAGATGCTTCCTATGTCAGCATCCCTCTAGCCACCCTCTGCCCCATTCTGTAGGTCTATGGATGCCTGCTCTGGAGGAAACACAATTTTGTCATATAAAGAAGCATCTGCTGCTGCTAACATCCACATGCTGGAATGGTATTTCTAGCTCTGTTTAATCTGGTATTAAAGAGTAATTTGCAACTCTCAGGCATGCTTTTTCAGGGGAGAAGACATAGATAGGAGCCTTGGTCTGGTTCCCACCATCGGTTTTTGACCACCTCCAGCTCTGGCACTAATGAGGAGCTTGAGGAGAGGCGGATGGGAAGGAAAGTGAGCCAGCAGCAGAGCCATCGGGAGGAATTGTCACAGGGGGGTGACCCCCGCTCTGCTCGTGCCCCGCTGTGTGTGATGGGTACGGCATCCACCCCTCTGCCTTCCAGCACGAGGGAACCTCACAAATCTCTAAACTGACACCAACTTTGTTTCAACACAGAATTAAAATAATAATAAGGTTAACTCGTTCTCTAAGGACTCTGTCATGAGCTGCCTAAGGAGATCATACGTCAGGAGAAAAACTACGTCTTTATTCCTTTCCATGGCTGGTTTCCAAAGGGGGAGGAAGCTGCTCCCATGGGGACAGCAGCATCTCTCTTAGACAGGGGGATCTGAGTGAAGGGAACGTCAGCGGCCTGCCAAAACCAAAGACTAGCTGAGTTAGCACAAAGAGGGATTTAATCTATTCTAGGAATGGGGTTAACGCAGATTTATTCAATCCTGAAACAAAAAAAGGAAGCACAAACTGTAAGGGTCCCTTTACCCGGGGCTTTGATAACTCTACAATACGGCCCCACATCATTAAATCACATCCGTGGCAGTGATCGCTGGCCTCCAGCCCTGCCCCCGTGGCGGTGGCCTTAAAGAGCTCCCTCTGTGTACTTTATCCACAAAAGTATTGAGAGGTGACCTTGTGACAGCTGACACAGGGACGGTATGGGGAGCTGAAGACCTTTCCAGTCTACAGAGTGGGAAGCTGGCAGGTGCCGATCACAGGCAGCGGTGAGCTGCTCCACGAAGCTGCTGGAGGTCAGTGTGTCACCTCTTGATGTCCTCAAACCGAGTGTATGGCACCCACATCAAACAGCAGTGGTGGCTGCTTTCACCCGCGGCCTGGGCAGGGGTCGGTGGATGAAATGGGGTGGTGGGGGAGCAGAGGAGGTCAGACGAGGTGAGACAACAGCCTGCTCTGGGCTTGACTTCCCTGAACGAAACCGGCGCCCCAGGTAGGAATTGTGCCCGGTGCGAGCACCTGAACACGGAGAAGATGTTGGTTCAGAGCAAGATGTCAGCCCACGTGGTGTTTCTTTCTTTTCTCTTTGAGCCTGGCTAATACGTGTCAGCAATGGGTGCTGGCTTGTGCTTGTGCTGCTGTGCTATTTTCGGAGGAGCCTTGGCTGCTGGGAGTCTGTCGGTCTCTAGGGTAAGGCAGCCGTGCCTCGCCACGGAGTACAGGTGGACTCTGGCCACCGAAAAAACAAATGAGAGTAGAAAAAACAAGGTTATGTTTAGTTTTGAGTAGACAAATGGTCTTGTTACACGCCGGAAAATTATTCTCAAGTTTCTCAAATAAGGAAGATGTGTTCACAGATGTTGAAAATAAAAGTGCTTCTCAATTTCAAACGTTCAGAGATAGCTCCAACATATATAGCATAGCCCACATACATATGCTGACAAGCTGAAAGTATTTTGTTCTCCGTTTGAACATCTGGGGATTATTAGTGTCTTAATTCATTGGTTTCTATTATTAATTATGGCAGCAGGCTGAATAATTACAATACATTGCTGCAAAAGACAGAGCACAATATTTTTTTCCAAATGCACTAGGACATCTTGCCATCATTTCAAACATAAAAAGCACTAGATTATTTTTAAAAAGGAAAGTGGATGTTATCTTATTCCAGGGAACTCATTTGCATAGGGGCATTTAAAATTAATAAATTACTGTGTTGAGCAAGCCTATTTTGTGCCTGAGAAAAGAAGTGAATGTAATTTAATTCACAAAGTTCCATTTCTTTTTTTGCTCTTGGTAAAATAGCTAATATGGGGATGGTGGTTTTTTGTGCAGTTTATGTAGAAAGACTGGCTGGAAGTTCTTACTTGGAGTGGCTGCAGGACGAATTTAGGCTGGGGCTGCAACAGAGTGGTGCCAGACGTTTTCAGCTGACATTTGGTGTCTCACTTTCCACTCGCTCTCAGGGAGAGTGGGCTGTTGAGCTCCCCCCTGCGCGGCAGCAAGCGCTTCCTCCTGAATCCTCACTCCAACGCCCACCCAAACGGGGATTTTCAGGCGAGTTGCTTGCACACGTTTTCTTCATTGAAAAGAGATACTCTGTAAGATGGAGAGCAAGGTATTAAAGGTTTTAAAAGAAGAGAACGTACTGTGTCAAGATAATTAATAGGTCAGATCTGAGCAGCTGTTAATGACGAAGTATAGCTGTGGTGGTGGATGGCAGCGTGGCTGCTGGCACCTTTGTCAAGGGCAAGGAGTCTGGAGTTGTTGAGCAAAGACTCCTGAGAAATCTCTTTTCTCTCTTTAGAGCAGGGTCTGAGCTGGGATTTATCAGCATGGTTCTTCATTAGTAGGAAGCCTGCTTCAGGAATTCATCCTCCTAAGTTGCTGTGGGACTTTAATTCTTGTTAGATGCTAACCTGCTGAAGCAATTCTGCTCTTTTGTGCAGAGTAACACCATTACCACCCCATTCCTCCTGACTTTGCAGAGGGATCTTTGAACCTCTGCAGATGCTGCAAACATTGCTGGGCTGAGGAAGTTCCCTCTTCCTCCAGAAGAGCAGCAGTTGCTGACTCTGTGAAGACTGCAGTTGAGTAACATAGACTGTCCCTAGGTTCATCCATAAGATTCAGATTCCCACCCCCAGTCAATCACCAAAGCTCTTCCACAAAACTCAGGGCATCCTCTACCTTTGTTCCACAGGCTGCTACTCTCTGGACCTTTAGTTTGATTTCAAATACAAATTGTCACACCAAGTCTCTACCGTGCAGAGCAAAAGAGCTTTGTTAAGTCCCCAGTGCTGTGCTCTACAGCATATCCTTGGGAGAGCTGCCAAGGAGGTAAAAGGAGTGGGGGGGGGCACGCTTCTAAGACGGGTTGAGAAGGTTAAGAACATACATTTGACCCAAGAATCCCTTTCCCCCTTCATAAATCCTCTGAAAATGTGATATGTAAGGAGTCACTACCTCAATATCAGCGAGAGCTTTCAGCTGCAAAGTTGACTGACCTCAGCAGTATTAAAAGATTAAATTATTATGTAAGTCAATTCTCCTTAACCACTGTTTCTAATGAGATAGGTATCAAAATAGCTTTTGCTGTGCATGATTCAGCATCCCATCCCTTATTTGATGATATATATGTGTATATATATATGTGTGTATTTGTAAGACCTCCCTATATCCAGTGGTGACTGTACACAAGGTACACAGTGTACAGGAGTCAATATTTTCTCATATGGTTAGTTATTATTTCCATGAGCTCCAGCAGTACGCACTGTACAACAGTGAAAATGCTAAAATCCAAACATATAGGCTGTGGCTCTCTACTTTGCTTGCCTGAAATCACCTAGAAAGTCTCACGGCTTCAAACATAAAGAACAACAGAATTATCAGCCTTGCAGAACTGATCGTTAAGTGCCTGGCAGTCAATTTTTGGACATAAGAATCCTAATTTTGCCTGGATTTTCACTGAATTTCCCCGAAGTGGATTGCTTGAACTTACGTCTGGAAAGAATTTTCCGGGCACTCCAGGCAGTACTTCATATAATCCTCATCAAGGGCACTAATGAATTCATTTGTTCGTCAGTGGCGCTGCTCCACATGTTCAGTTGTGTAACAGAAGCTCCACGGTGGTTCAGATGGGAGCTGGGAACCGGTGAGGCTGCCCAGAGCAGAAGCTGCCTGCGTTGGGCTCATCCCTTGCAGTTGGGTCCTGCAAGCAGGCACAATGTTTTGGCTTTTGAATTTCAGCCTTCACCAAGATACTTACCTGAGTATCCCAGTGGCGCACATTCAGCTTCCAGAAACTTTGAAGTAAAGGCATAGCTAATCCAGAAATTAAAATAAAAATAATACAAAATATATTTGAAACAATTCTTCCACTGTTTCTTAACAGAGGACAGGAACAGCCAGAGATATTAAGGAATTTAGACAAGATCGCTTTAAATAATTTATTTAACATTTCAAAAGCTAACCCATCAGCAAAAGCAAGATGACTGAGTGGGTGGTTAGTCACACTGGATAATTTTTAAAGATCTAATTTCTTACCCCAGCGAAATAGCTCATGGTCTCGGCATCTCCCTGCCATCCACAGGAGGGTTGGAGAGCAAGTGTTCAACTGGGAGGCTCTTCTAGAAAGCAAGATGATAAGCTGTTTCAGTCTACACAAAGTAGCATCTGGCCTCAACGCATTTAAAAATAATCTGTTTTGACTAGTATATCTTATACGATAGGCTATCATGTCATGTTCTGGCACTAACAAAAGATGTGAACAATATGAAATGTCATGTTAGGCTAAAGATGCAAAAAATGCTCCAGAAATGCAAAAGATGTTGGCTTCATCAAAGAGATGTTTTCTATCAGAAAAATGTTTCAGGAAAAAGGTTGCTGAATACAGTTGATCTGGAGGGTGAGGGTGTATTTCTTTTTAAAATGAAAAGAGGAAGTATTTTGAGAAATGTGGCAGGAATTACATTCATACAGAGATAGGAGAGAGCGACCCAGTCATTCCAGTTTTTATCTTAGGGCTTTACAGCTTCTGTCTCAAATTCTAGCCATCACAAAAAGGTACAAATCTGTCTTTTTGGTGCAAATAAAACTTTCATGCATAGTTGCCAATAACAATGCCGCAAGTCTAATGTTTGAAGAGGAGCTACTGAAATCTGACTGTGAATTTAGTCGGTATTCTTGCTCTATGAATACTGATCTGCTGCACTTGGAAAAAAATGGGTAACTTTGTATTTAAGCTTTGCTCTCTGTAGGTGTAAGGTTGATGTGGTAGCAGAGCTCCCTAATTTGGTGATACTGTAGCCTGATTAGTGAGGATTGCCTCCAGCACTGAATTTATAAATAATCCAAAATTATAATAAGGGAGAAAGTCTTTATTTCATTTAGTTTTGCTTTTTTGAACTTTGAAAAGTTCTTTTTTGATTCATGAATTAAACTTGTTTTTTTATTCATGCCCTCTCTTTTTAGAAATTATGTATAGTTCTTGTTTCATAGTGATGTAAACCCTGTGAAGTATTCATGATGGTATCTCATTGATGGCTGGGTTACTGAGAAGTGCTCGGATCCTTCAGGAATGAGAGCAGTCACTTTTAATATGAAGGAACTTTTAAAGCATGTCTTGGTGTTTGGGTCTCTATTTTGAATCAGAAAAGATGTTTTGTGTAATAAGAAAACTGGTTTTTTTAGGCAGGGGTATTTTTGAGCGTTAATTCAAACGTGCTGGAAAAGGAGGGGAGCTTCTTTGTCTGAAGTAAATGATGCTGTCATTGTGGTCTGTCTTTCAAACGACCAAAATGGCAGATCAAAATAAATACAAGTTTTTTCCACCTTTCTGCCTTTTCGTTCAATGCCTAACTCTTTTAGAGCAGCCATCAGTCAAAATAAGGGACTACAGACAATTCGTGTCTGAAGTTTTGTGGTTTCTTCCAAGCCAGATGACAAGCTTTCCCATATGAAGTGTTTATCCTATGAGATGCTAGTGAAGCTTGGGCCATCTCATTTTTGATTGAGTAAAGCATTTTCTATCATAACGTTACACTTAGAGGTGTAACTGCAAGTTCTGCAGGATCCTAGATTTGCTTTAAAGTATGCTAGAGACCTTTATAAAGAAAACACGGTTTCTACCCACATGACTGCAGGAGGAGGAAAAATCATTCCTCTTTTTACCAGCCCTACAGCCCACACACAGTGAGAGCATCTGCAAGTCTGGGAGAGGTCCTGGTCCCCCTTTCAAGTCCTAGCAGATTAGTCTGTCCTGAAAGTAACAATTTCCATCACCATCTTGAAGCGTGCCTTTGAAAAAAAAAAGAAACCAAATGGTATCCTACCGTTTTAGCAACGCTTCTGGCTCCTCTGAGAGATCCGGGATTCTCAAGCTGGTTGTTGGTGGCACATGGACATCACAGGAATATCTTGGTACCTGAGAAGGAAGGATCAGAGATACACAAACACACAAACATGCAGAGCAGTCTCCTGTTCTTCAGAAAAGAAGCAAACTTCCTCTTGATAATGGAAGATTTGAAGGAAATAGCATAATATATATCCCACAATAAAAAAACGTGTATTAATCAGGAACCCATATTTCTTGCTGCAGTTTCCTGGACAGAAATACATTTGAATGTGGACCATAGCAGAGGTCCAGCAACCCAGAAGCCATTGGACATGGTGCACAGATGACCACTACCCATGTACGGAGTCCAACAAGTCCCGAGCACATCGGGATCTACCTGTCAAGGTGTCTTCTCTGTGCCACCCCAGGAACAGCCATCAGCCCCAAGTCCCAGGCATCGTCACTGCGCCGTGATGCAGCTTCTGTGCAGCCTGGGTGGCAGCCTGGCACGGGTGTCCCAGCGTAAGCAGGGGGCCAGGAGAGGCAGAAATGCCCTTAAAACCATGCCCTGGCAGTCCGTGGGGCAGAGGTAGCCTCACAGCAACCTGACTGTATGGCAAGTAGCCCAGAAGGCCAGTGCCTGTTGTACCTCTCTGGGGACCTACAGGCTGGAGTATCTCATGGAAGCACATGAATGAAATTTCCTCTCTTTAATAAAAAAGATTAAAATTAAGTACTGTTTATTAGGTTTATGACTTCACAGGCTGTGCTTTCATGTTTGCTGCAATTTTTTTTCCTGAGGTTAAGAGAAAACAGAGCTGGGGCTGGGACATAAGTCTAGAGCTGCTGCCTCCCATCTCTCCATCCCTGTTCTCTTTGTCTTTCCCGAGAAGAGAATTTAGCACTCGTGCTGAAATGTCCCAAAAGTCCTAATAACAGAAGAGAAGTTAATGCTGCCTAAAGGGATGTAGGGGTTGCCTTGTCATTCTTGTTTGCTGGGAGCTTGTCCTCGCCTGTTTTAACATAAGGACAATATAACCAACTTTATTAGTGCAAGTTGTTAGAGACTCTTGAAACTCTCCTTGGACAGCAGCGACAGGAAAGAAATTCATTATGAAAATCTGAATCTTGGATCTGCTGCACACACTTTTCCCAAAGGTGGGATAATACCTCAGCATACCTACCGCCGGCACGGCTGGCTTGGAGGCAGAACACAAATTGCAATTGTTTCATAACACTCAGGGACTTCCTTTGGAGGATACAAACGCTTCAACTTATTTGTGTGCAAGCTACATTTCCTCAGACATCTATCATGAGATTTTTTTTCTTGTTTTTAATTAATTGTGGCTAGATGGTACTATCAAAGAAAAAGGACTTTTACCATTTGAGATATTGTAAGTATTGGTTAAATGGAAGAATTTGCCAAAATTACCCAGATTAATTTACACCTCGGTGCTCTACAAAATGCATGTGAGTTTATTGCAAGTAACAGTCTGCATTTCAGCCCATGATGTGAAGGCTGAGCACATACCTGTGTCAAAACTAAATGAAGTCCCCATTTTCCTGGCTACGAGGAGGGAAGTATTTTCCAGGATTTGCAGTCTCAGTGGCTCTTGAACAGCTGCAGAAGAAAGCACAAAAGGTCAATGCAGTTTAAAGATTCCCATACTGTGGGAAGGGGAGGAGGCCTGGGGCACGGGCATGCAGCACTGATGATAACCTTAAGCTCTGGACTCCTTCTCCTCTACTTCAGCATAAAATTATCTTTCTGAATATGTTATATTGGACTACCAAATATATCATAATGGTGTATTACATGCAAATGTCCAGAGTCTTCCTCCTAGGCTTGCCTGGGTGTGAGGAGACAGTCTGGAGAGGATAATAGAAATGATCAAGTGTTCTTCATGTGTTATTCTGTAATAAGTCTTTGAATAGTCAAATTATTTTTTCTTGTGTTTCATTTGCTGTAACTTTACAGGAATTAGATATTCAAGAGAACAACAGAAAACCTTGCAAAGCTTTGCATCTACATCAGCCTACCTATCTCAAGGTGCAAACCTTTGCTCTGGCTTCCCATAAACAATGTCTTTCACAACCTGTTCTTCTGATTTTCCTCTCTTTTATACTTTGAGTTCTTTCCATCATTTCACTTTACCCTGCACTGTCAGGCTAACGTTTCCTTCACCTGTGTTCACAGAGAATGCAAATAAACTGGAAGAAAGTGCAAGAGGGATCTACATCCCTTGTCCAGAGCATTACAATGGCTTCTGCATGCACGGCAAGTGTGAGCACTCCACTAACATGCTGGAACCGTCTTGCAGGTAACCCTTCTCCTACTAAGAAGGAAAGGCTGCACACGTGAAAATATCAACTTACAATAACTCTTAGTCTTGATAAACTATGGAAAATCATGGTAACCTTTGTGCTACAAAACCCATTAGACTTAAATTATTCAACGAAGTCCCCATTTTATGTGGCAAAAGCGTATTGAGTTATGCACAATGTTAATTGATTGTAAAAAACATTCAGTAACCTACAGTTATATTTAGATATATTTTTAAAAGCACTTCACAAGTGCTCAGGCAGCTGCTAGGTAGCCTCCTCAGTCCTAAGAAGTGCCACCAGGGATATTGCTCTGCTGTGACAGGGGTGATGTGATGCTCGTAGGGCAGTGGGTTGAGGGGAAGGTGGCTCCTTCATGCGGGAGGTGGCTTTGGAGGAGGTCAGGGCGGGGAGGAGAAGCATGTGTTTCTGCCATAAATGCCATCCTGCAGAGGTGGGGATATCACTTCTGAAGTCCAACCACCAGCCCGGTGGCAAAGAAAAGGACTCTTACACATGAAGCACCATTTTTCCTGGGACATTGGACTGGGAGAGCAAAGATTCAGACCAGACCAGACTTACTCCCCAGGACAGATCCTCAAACCAACTTCTCTCAGCTCCCACAGACAGCCAGGGCACGTTTTGCCCTTTGCAGCTGCTGCATTCTCCGTGCAACTGGAAAATGTCCTTTCCTCAAGCTGCTGGCTGCTGTGGGAATGCAGGGAAGGAAAAGGGTGGAAGTCCAAGCCTTAACCCAGCCGGGTTAGTCCCACTAACACTCCTGAGAGGAGCCCAGGCAATCTGGCTCGGTCTCTTCTGGTTGCTGCTACTACTCACCTGGATTTTTGCATCTTCTTGCTTGGGCTTTTTAGGGGAAACAAGGCAAGAGCTAAAATGGGAAAACCACTGTTTGTTCCCCAAAATCACAGAAGGGAGATGTCAGGCTGCAGGATGGGAACTGGTGAGCAGCGCAGCAGGCGGCATTGGGGTGGATGGTTGCAGCATCAACAGAGGGGTTTTTTATAGCAACCAGACAAAATGTAAATGATGTATCCATTTTCAAGAACATCTAATCACATTTCATACGGAGCTTGGATGATTGCTTATCACCTCCTTAGGGGTAATCTGCATAAGGAGCCACAACTTGATGGCTTTTCACCCTCCCCCCCCTCCCCAAAGAAAGGGAGAAATCTAAAATATGTTGTGCAAGGAACTAAATGGCTTCTCATCACAACGTGCAAGTAGTTCCACTTGATGCTAGACAAGTCCCAGTCCCTGGGCACCTGGCACTGTAGCAGCGTTGTTCACTCTCGCAGATGATGGTGATGCTGAGGACCTGAAGTCTTCCCTCTGAGAGGTTGAGGAGGCATCAGTTCTCTCTTGGGGGGTACCATCCTGAAAAAAGCCCACATAAGCTTATGCTTAGACCACTGATTATTTCTTTTTCAGGTATAATTATTTTTGGCATTCTTTGAAGGCAGCAAGTATAACTGGAAAAAATCTTTTTTGTTTCAGATGTGATGCTGGCTATACTGGACAACACTGTGAAAAAAAGGACTACAGCGTTTTATATGTGGTTCCAGGTCCAGTACGATTTCAGTATGTCTTAATAGCAGCTGTGATTGGAACCATCCAGATTGCTATCATCTGTGTTGTAGTCCTCTGTATTACAAGGTCAGTATCTCTGGTACTTCGCAATAGGAAAAGAAAAGACTTTTGTTTTTCCTACTTTGTGCGCTGATTATACAGATTTCTGCATTGACGCTACTGATAACAAATAGTGTTTAATTCACCAACAAACAGAAGATATTGCCTGGTCCAGCCAGCCACTGCTGTTTCATTATTATGACTGAATTTTTACTTCCATCTTAATCAAACTCAGGTGGCAACGGTGCCTACAGCAAATGAAGTTTCCTATTTTGTATTCAGATGCTTGGACAAATATCGTTCATATAAATACAAGGAATATAAATACAGCAGCTGGATCAACACTTAATAAAACTAATCATATCTCCATCTGGTTTCCTCAAGGGCCCATTCCCTTAGTCCTAATCAGGCAAAGCATACAAATTTTTAAGCCTGTTTGCAATCCCATTGATTAAATGATTTCATTAAGCTTGTATACATGTTCAAAGGTACCGCACGTGTTTAAGGTCTTCACTAGATAGTGGTACACCAAGCCATATATGATTTTTAATTTTTTTTTTTAACGAGGAGGAAAGGGTTATTTGAATAGAAATGAAAGCCCCAGGGTAGTTCAGAACAAGAGGGGTGAATGCAATCCTGCCCCTCCTACGTGTGCTGCTCTGCTTCCCTACTGAACTGTGCTACTGCATCTGGGAGGGCTTGGGGTAAGGTGTGAACTTCAGGAGTCTTCAGGCTTCTTTCAGAAATTACGAGGTTCAATTCACTCAGCTAGGAACACTAACAAACCATTCTTTTAGAAATAAATTCCTTTTTAAAAGACAAAAAAATAAAATCCCGGTACCATACCTCTGTAAAAAATAAAATCTCTAATATATCTCTGTCCCTGTGTTGCACTACCTGGCTGGAAGTCTAGCATTTGTTTCTAGAAAAGACACCTCCAAAAAAATTGTAAGTCCTTCTCTGGGCTAAAGACATAAACTAAAACCATCTGATGAAACGTAGCTACTTTTTTGGCCAAGTTGAGCCCATCAACTCACAGGTAAATACTGAATGAGGCAACAGATTATATTGTGGTGATATTCACAGAAGTAATTCAAACAACCAAAAATGTAGTGTGTAGTAACAAAAAGAAGATGGTGTAGTAACCGATAGTAACATTTTGTCAAGTGACTCTAGTTTTGTCACCTTGACAGAGTAATGCAGAATACTTTATATTGAAGAGTGACGACAGTGTGCTCTGAGGGATGTGGTACTGTAATGCAAATTACCCATCACACTGTTTTCATACATAGACGGTACCTTTTCCCGCACACTTTGTAACCAAGTTAATTTATGATCTTTTGACTTCTTTCTGTAATGCATGTAATTACTGCAGAGCATCTTCCATCCCAGCATAATAATTCAAGATACATTTGCAAAAGTGTACTCTTAAGTGGCCTAAGAGAAATCCACATGACAAGAGAGCGTTTCGGCAGCATATGCATAAGTAATCGAGTTTTTGAAGTCATCTCCTTTGGAGAACCTGACTCTTCTGGTTTGAACTCCATACCCTGAACTCTTGAAAGCACTAAAATCACCCTACCAGGTTCCTGGGAGAAAGAAAGGAAGCTTCCCTCACTCAGAGGCCGCTGCGGCCAAATTCTTTGCTGCTCATTTCAGTGCAGCTTCACCTAATGACTTTATCAAATGACTTTGGTGCACTCTGTCCAAACCCTGCCTCTGAGCCACACAAGACCACTGCTGTAAATCTTCTAGCTGTCGTTACTGCTGTTGCTTTTAAAATTGTAACTGTACAGTGGTGCAAATCTATGGGGGTGTCCTTCATTGCTGGGAGGATGTGAGCAGTTCCCAGGTGCTTTTAGGGCCGTTGTTGCACAGCCACTTTAATCTGCATACAGGAGCTGTGCTGCTGACGGGGGCGGTCTGCCCCTCACCCTTCCCCTGCCTCCTGGGCACTTGGTCTTGCCACCATTAGCATTTGTTGTAGCCACACAACAAACCCAGTCGATGTGTTTTTAAGCAGCTGGATTCCTTGCTGAGGTTGGCCACCAGGCTACTCAGCACCAATGCCAGCAATGGGAAGGAGCGGCTGAGGTGGAGGAGTAGGGGACCAGAGGCCCAGAGGTAGGGAGGAGATGGGGTGCAGCAGTGAGGCACGGTCCCTAAGCCAGAGAACTTTTAGCTGAGAGGTAAGGCAAAAGAGAAACAATGATAAAAGTGAAGGAGGATGGTAAATAATATAGGTACAGCCTAGTGTCATAATGATTCTCAGCAGTTTTCTTTACAGCTTTGCATTTTTAGTGCTTCCCTAATGTTTAGTCACAGCAGCTTATTTATGTGAAGAAATAACTTGATTAAAAATGAATGCATAATGTGTTTTACCTGCTATGAATCACATTGTGAGTAACTCAAGCTTGCGAGCAAGCTTCAATGGAGGGAGGGCAGGCAGCCTGTGCTCCAGTACCTAGTTTACATTGATATAACTGCTGTGTTCATAAATGAAAGCATCCCACACACAGAGCACTACAAAGAACTTTTGATTAAAGAGTTAAGGACCAAGGAAAAGCTGTCACTCAATTTTAGCAGATGATTACGTTTAAAAAAACTGGTTAAATGCCAGTGCCCCTCTTAGGAAACCCAGCTGCACTTCAGACACAACCTACCTGTAAATGCAATAGCATCGCATTTTAGCAGTTGTGGTGTCAGTCCGTGGCCCTGGGGCCTTCCCAGGCTTCCATCAATCGGTAGCATAGTGTATTATGCAATTAAAACATTGGCATTTTTGGCTAAGAGATGCTTTTTCATCATCTTAATTGGAGTAATCTCTAAGTTTGAATCGAATCCTCTTGACCTTGGAGTAAGTGACCGTGCAGATAGTGTCAGTGTCGGTTTGGGAAAGAGCCTGTGAGATGCACATCCCCTTTCTTCCAGC